AGAATCCCAAGCAGGCTCCTTGCTATTAGCACAGAGCCTGATGTGGGGCTCAAACTCACGAACAGTGAGATCATGACGTGAGCCAAAATCAGGAGTCAGACGTTCAAATGACTGAGTCACTTAGGCACCTCAAAAAGATCATCTTTGATACTTGCCTCTTGGTCATCAACACTCCCCACCCATCCCATGTTCCCCCAACATCGAGTCAATCACAGGCTCGATCCATCTAACCTCTTAAATGTGTCTTCATTCCCCCATCGCAGCTCTAATTGAGGCCATCTGGATCGCCATGGTGGCAGACCAACAGACGTCCCATCTTCCACTCTTACCCCTTTCCCCCATCAATTTCCTACCTTGCAGTCACAGTGATTCCTTAAAAGCCAGTTTGTTCAGATAACCCCTCCTTAAAACCTTCAGTGGCTTCCTATTGCCTCAGGATAAAATCTAAATTCGATCTCTTTTCATTCTGTTATCCCCCAACCTCTTGGCTCAGTGGTTCTGTTTGGGAGGTGCTGCCCCCTAAGGGGGCATTTTGGAAATTCCAGGGGGTGGTTTTGGTTGTCATGGCCATTGGAATGAGGTGTGTTAACTGGTTTTTAGTGGGTGGGGATCAGAAACCCCAGACATATTGACAAAAAAGAAAATCATCGCATGGCTCCTATAGCGTTCGAAGGTCTCACCAAAAATCCATGAAGGAGAAATCCTTGTTTACAATTCTGAGTTGAAAGCCCTGCTCTATGTTTTAAACAAACATGTTACACGATTGTAACACACCTGCTTTCATGGCTGTCTCGTGTAGGGTGATTCTGCACTTATGAGCATGTCCCTGCCTCATTATGTCTTCTGCATATTCATGCCTGTGCACATACATATTGAAATACATAGTGTTTCTCTATAAATTACTCTCCTTTTAGGTCTCTTTGTATTTGCACATCACATTGACGTTATTTGGAAAGTGTAGGCTATAATGCCTATGAATTGCATTTTAAATTGGTGGAGGGTTACAAAATATTTGTCATAAAGTACAAATGGGTTGGGAAGGGGCGCCTGGGTGGCTCAGTCGGTTACGCGTCTGACTCTTGATTTTAGCTCAGGTCATGACCTCACGGTTCATGAGATCGAGCCCCACATCGGGCTCTTGTGCTGACAGTGCAGGGCCTGCTTGGGATTCTCTCTCTCTCCCTCTCTCTCTGCCCTTTCCCAGTTTGTGCGTGCACGCTCTCTCAAAATAAACAAATAAACTAAAAACAAAAAAGAGGAGGTTGGGTCAGGGGATGTTGAGAATCACTGCTGGAGTCACAATGAGCTTTTCCATTCAGGGACCTGTCCCAGCTCGTAGCGGCTCCCCTACCACGTTGCCATTTCCCGTGTGATCGTCCGCATCTCTCCTTTAGAGAGTGAGCCCAGCATGTCCGGGCAGGTGCTGGTCTTAGTCACGCCTGTGCCTACCATAGTGTCTGATTTACAGTAAACACTTCATAAGTGTTTGCTCAGTAGAGAAGTACTTAGATATGTCTAGCGTGGTACGTTCAAGTGGATACTAAAATGACTACATTCCCCAAACACAAACCAAGTGAAGAGTCCCGCAGAAAGAAGCCAGAGGCTAGGATTGGGGATGAGGGCATCCAACCAGGGACTAACTACCTACAGTTCTTGGTTGGAGGCAGCTTAGAGGAGGCCATTCCTGGCACCAAAGCAGATGGACCAGATGATAAGAGTCCTTGTCAAATTATAGGATTTTGTAATATCTTGACTCTCTTCTTCTCCTAGAAGCTTCTAAAGACTTTGTTGACCAAGTGCAGTCCATCCCGTGGTTTAAAAGAATGACAGTGTTATAGTCTAGAATGTCTAATAGAGTTTTTTACTCTAAACACATTTTTACGGAAGCATATATCATGTAATCAGGGTGAGTGAAGGAAATCTGTAACTGTCTCACGATGCTCCCCAAACAAAAGCTATTTGTGCAGGAGGAACATCCAGGATTGAACAAAGCTTTCGTCCGGGCTTCTTAGATGCAAGTGTTAATCTGGCTGCAGAGAAGAAGGGACGTTGAACGGGCCAGGTCTCAGGCCGTCAAGCATCTTCCCAGAGCAGCGAAATCAGTGGTATGGAAGTAACTGCATTAGTCTGTAATCATAGAATGCGCATGGACTTTCTCCTACTGGACATCCTGGGTCAGGGACTATAAGGGTCACTGTGGGTGCCCTGCCCGGATCTTCCCGTTCACCAGCTGCTGTGGCATTGGCTGCTGAAGGCTCACAGCTGTCCTTTTTCCCAGAAACTTGGCACTCAGCCACCTGTCCAGAAGTTCATGCACTCATGAGCCGGGTGGGGTGGATAAGGTGGGTGCACACAGGCCCACCCTGTTGCCTCCAGGTGGGACCAACTCGGTGGCACAATTATGCTCCAGAGCTCCCTGTGGGATCAGCTACACTTCAGTGCAGATCCCATCCTTGTTCGGTTCCTTCCCCTGTCCCTTTGCTCCTCTTCTCCCACGAGCATGCCCTCAATAAATTAGGTGCACTTGAGTCCCTGGCTCAGCTTCGGCTTCTGGGGAATCTGACCTGAAACAGGGATCTAGCATCTCTTCTGAGGTTCTGGCAGTTTGCCGAGATCAGGCTGATCTCCCACTTTTCATGCAGGTTTCGTGGATTTCATAGCTATACGTAAGAGAAGGCGTGTTTGAAAACTGATCAAATGGATATGTTTTTGAGTTAATTTCAAATTATCCATTTATATTATGTATCTAGCAAGTATCATTGCAATGACTTCATTTACACATCTGTCTTCTGTATCAGGCTGAGAATTATTTGAGGGCAGGGACCACATCTGACACCCCCAGGAATCTGCCCATTGTCAGCTCATGTGTGCTCACTGAATAGGTGACGAGCGGGTAATTTGCATGGATGCATGAAATACAGCATCAAGCCATCATCTTTTGAATTTACAAAATTCCAAATGTTCAAGATGTGGATTTAGAATGAGAAATATCGGAGCACTTGGGTGGCTTCGTCAGTTAGGTGTCTGACTCTTGATTTCAGTTCAGGTCATGATCTCATGGTTTGTGAGTTCGAGCCCCACATTGAGCTCTGTGCTGACATCTCAGAGCCTGCTTGGGATTCTTTCTCTTTCCCATTTCTTTGTCCCTACCCTGCTCGCACACTCTCTCAGAATAAATAAACTTAAATTTTTTTGTTTTAAATGAGAAGTATCTTGGGGTGCGTGGGTGGCTCAGTTGGTTAAGTGTCTGACTCTTGATTTTGGCTCGGGTCTTGATCTCACAGTTCGTGGGTTCGAGCCCCACATCAGACGAGAGCTTGCTTAGGATTCTTTCTCTGTCTCCATCTCTCCTCCACTAGCACATGTGCGCTCGCACTTTCTCTCTCACTCTCTCAATAGTAAATAAACTGGGGCGCCTGGGTGGCTTAGTCGGTTAAGCGTCCGACTTCGGCTAGGGTCATGATCTCGCGGTCTGTGAGTTCAAGCCCTGTGTCGGGCTCTATGCTGACAGCTCAGAGCCTGGAGCCTGCTTCAGATTCTGTGTCTCCCTCTCTCTCTGCCCCTCCCCTGTTCATTCTCTGCCTCTCTCTCTGTCAAAAATAAAATAAACATTAAAAATCAAAAAAATAATAATAATAAATAAACTTAAAAAAAAATAAACTGAGGCATATCCTGGCTCTTATCAATTTGAGTTTCATGGCTATTATTATAACAATAAAATCCCTTTGTGATTTGGGAATTACTTAATGTCTTCCTTTCCCTTTCTTTAGTCTGCCTGGGTTCCCAACTTTTAGCTTTTTCCCCCTAAATTAAATCTGTTGGATTTGATTTTCTTACTCTGTGACTCACATGGTGGTCCAAGAGTGCGGTTCTATAAAGCTCCTCAGGAGACAATATGACTTACACGGAGAGGGAAATCACGAGAATTCAAATCCTCATTCAAGAGTCTGTTTCAACTTTCCTCTTCATTTCTACCGTAACAGGGCAGAACCTCACCGCAATCTCCCGTGGCCTTCCAGGTGCAGGATTTAGACCATCTTTGGTGAAGGTCACCAGATTAAATACAAATCACCCAGGTGGAATTGAATTTCAGAGAAACAATGGATAATTTTTTACTATGTCTCATATAGTATTTGAAAGCAATATTTGGGACATATTTATACAATATTCAACTCTAACTGGGCACCGTGCTTTTTGTCTCCTCCCTCCCACCATCATTTCCTCCCTCTTCCTTCTCTGCCCTTTTCTTTCTTCTTTCTTTCTTGCTTTCTTGCTTTCTTTCCTTCTTTTCCTTTTTGCTAAGTCTTGCAATCCTCCATCTGGTCAAATAATCTTACACAATTTTTTTTTGATGTTACAATACCTGAACTTACTGAATAGAATTCAAGGTACACCTGTCTCATACTGAATTCCATAGTAGATGATAAAGTAGCAAAGTGCCAGGTATAAATTTAAAATGTCTGATGGTTAAGAATTGAACACTGAAAACACAACTCATGAAATATGGACATACAACTAAGTCAGGGGTTGTCAAGCTGCCCGTAAAAGGCTAGACAGTAAATATTTTTGGCTTTGTGGCCCTTGAGTTCTCTGTGACAAGTACTCAGCTCTGCCTTTGTAGCTTAAAGGCAGCTGTAGATAATATATAAACAAATGACCATGACCATGCTCATGTGCCAATAAAACTCTGTAGGGCAGTAGTTTGCCAATGAAATCATGATATTAGAAGATTCTCATGAATATTTAAAAATGCAACTATAACAAATTAACTTGGTTTTGGGGCGCCTGGGTGGCTCAGTCGGTTAAGTGTCCGACTTCAGCTTAGGTCATGATCTCGCAGTTTGTGAGTTCGAGCCCGGCGTCGGGTTCTGTGCTGACAGCCCAGAGTCTGGAGCCTGCTTCGGATTCTGTGTCTCCCTCTCTTTCTGACCCTCCCCCGCTCACACTCTGTATCTCTCTCTCTCTCAAAAACAAATAAACATTAAAAAAATATAATTTGGCTTTTATCCACAAAATTACTTCTAAGAGATCCCACACAATTCTATACAATTCTCCTGAGGGTGGGATGAAACTGGTAATTTTACATATTGCCAATCGTCCTGACCGTACATTGGAGACTACCTTCCAGAAATTCATTTGGCAGGTTATTTCAAGAGTCAGAAAACCTTGGCAAGTAGGGAATAGATAGGTAAAAGAAAGCTTAAATTTCGTCAGTGCCCAAACTCCGCCAAGTGTCTACCCTGGGCCCGAAGCTGGGGACAGAATGAAGGGATTGGAAGAAACATCTATGGCCCAACTCTGTGGGGGAAAGACATTGAAAGAAGTCATTCGAGGAAATATTGTGCATCGTTCCGAAAAATAAGAAGACTACAGAAGCACCATAAGAAAACGCTCGTGATACAATGTGAACTGAAAAACATTTGCGTACGTACTTACATGAGCGCCCTGATGACGACAATAAGCTCACGCATAAAGCGGAGCTTCCAAGATGGTGACCGTGAACGTGGGAGAACGTCTCCCGGAACTTTCCGTGGTGCCAGCACGCTGTGGTGGCTCAGAGCAGAGGCTCTGGCACCAGGGAGCCTGGCTGTCATTCCTGACTCTTCGTTCACTAGCTCTGTGACCCCGTGCCTCATTTCTGTTGTCTGTAAACTAGGGACAATGACAGTAGCTACCTCACAGACTGTCGTGAAGACTAACTAATACACTATGTGAGACACTGCGAACCGTTGCTGACACGTGCTGTGCCGTAAGGTTTGCACTCAGTGCTGGTGACGTTTACAGAGACCGCGTGATTTTTTTCTTATAACGCAACAACCTCATTTATACTTCTAAAGAAACATTTTACCATCGAGTCTGCAAGTAGAATTATCATGGGGCTCAGTTTAGAAGGCAGCACCCACGTCGCTTCGTGATACTTACTGAATCAACCAGGATGTGTGAATGAGCGTGGGCCCCACCTTCCAAAGGCTGGGAAAAATAGACGTCGATGGAATATTGTACATCTGGTTCTAAACAGATGGGCGTGGGAAGCAGCACGATTCTGTATTAAGAGAAATAAAGCAGAAATTCAGTGACAAAAGTACAGTTATATAACCTAAGCGGCCATAGCTGCTTCTCCCCCCCCCAGCGTTGAAGTGGGTTCTGCCTCAGAGCAGAGGCCAGGTCTAGACCAGCTCGGGTGGGTTGAGTGGAAAGCAAAATCACACTCAGGTTCTCTGTGGCTCTTCCATAGGATTGTGCCAAGTAGCAAAGCCTTGGTAACCATCAGCCACGTGTTGTCATAAGTGCTTTGGGAAAAGGATGGAAACAGAAGTCCTTCCTCCCGTCTACCATGCTCTCAACAGGGTCTCCATTTTAGTTTGCCACAAATCTCCAATGTAAAATTAGTGGCCTCCAAATCAGCTTTTTGCCCTGGAGACTCTCAGCTGTTGAGGTACTGCCAGCTGAATATTTTATTCCTACTCTTGGAGCGTTTCACTTTCTCACCTCTCAAGGCCATCTGGGGAATGGGAAAGGAACGTTCAAGACCGAGAATCAGGAGATCTGGGCTGGAATCCTGGTTCTGTTATACACCAGCTACGAGGCTGGGGCAGGTCTCCAGGTATTCTCACTCTGAATTTCCTCCTCACCTGACGAAGAGAAAGTCTTCCTCGCTGAGTCGTCAGCAAGATATGATCTTAAACGTGAAGCTTAGTGTAACACAGCAAGCGCTTAATAAATGTCACAGTCTCCTTGAATACACCTCTTCTCCTCCTGAGCTCTTTGCTACAAATTATTGATAGAGGCCTAAAATTCTAAGAAGGCTACTGTGTTTGAGGACAGGTCCCAAGCATACCTGGAAGTCGCCGGTAAAGGGAAGGACTGAGGTCGTGGCCATGGGGTCTCACGTGGACAGTGCTTGCTCTTTCCGAGGGGGTTAACCAGGATCTTGACAGCCCAGTCGGCTGCGGGCTACACGGGCGTGACATAAAAGCATGTTTTTGTGAGGACGTATACACAACACACGCCTAACGGACAGCCCTTGCCATCAAATCTGTAACCCACGGCCCCCTCAGAACAGGGAACTTTGGAGCTGAGAGAAGTCTTAGCGGTTGGCCATCAGCTCTAACACGCTGGCAGCTGAATGGCGGTTTGGGTAGACAGAATGTTGTTTCCGGCCATAGCTCTAGTTCATAGGCTCGAAAGACCCTGGTACTCCGGACAGGGCTGGTCTTTAACGTCTGTCTCCCCCAAAGTCCACTGATTCATCCTGTCCCTGGATCACTGAACAAACATGAACATTTCAAATCCTTCACAAAAAGATATATACTGTTTTTCATCTTATCATGTAAATATTAGGGGTGCCTAGATGGCTCAGTCGGTGAAGCGTCCGACTTTGGCTCAGACCATGGTCTCGCTGTTCGTGAGTTTGAGCCCCGCGTGGGGCTCTGTGCTGACAGCTCGGAGCCTGGAGCCTGCTTCAGATTCTGTGTCTCCCTCTCTCTCTGTCCCTCCCTTGCTGGCAATTCTGTCTCTCTCTCTGAAAAGTAAGTAAATATTTAAAAATTTAAATATTATTA